ATAGAGAGGGCTTGGTTAATTTGATCAGACATAACATAAAAAAAAAGGCAGTCTTGAGATGAAGGAGAACGATATAGAACAAAAAGAAAAACAATAGAGTGAAGTGGTGCTAAATGAAAGCACATAAAAGAATAGTCTGTTGATTGAAACCTAGTTTACTGACAAATGTATGGTTTCTTACGAATGTAAATACGCAGGCTAAGCATGTGACTATTGGAATCTTTACGAATTAAAGGAAGTTAACCATCAACACTAAGATCACAAGATGAGACAGTCGAACTCAAAATAGTCACCAAAAGCAAGTAGGTCTGGTGAACTTTGCAAGAGGTAAGACTCAACAGAAGATAGGTTGCTTTGAAGACCACGAATGTTAGTGAATGATAGATTTAGAGAACTTGGTGATGATGATGATGATGATGATGATGATGATGATGATGATGATGATGATGATGGCGATAGTATTTTCTGTTTAATAGTTATTGGTACTTTAGTCATTTTAAATTTTTTAAAGAATTTGACTCGAAGCCTGTTCGGCATCTAAAGCTGTTTTTTGTGAACTTAAACATGATAAACTTGTTTTTTTCAATGACAAGGACTTTATAAACCAAAGTATTTTAACTTGAACCAGAAACATTTTATTTTATTCAAATATAACTCACAATTTTATCAAGGGTTGTCTTGTTAACAGAAAGTTATCTGTAGATAACTGTAAAAGAGTAGCCAAAAAGCATCAAACTTTTGGCTATCGCTTATTTAAAGAAAATTTTGTAAAAATGTAAAAGCATTCATAAGTTTGTCTATTACAAAGTGTAATGTTGCAGCGTCTGCGAAATGTAAACAATACAAAATTTTTACACACTTGTAACAGTCTACTGGTGAAGTACTTTTTGCTAAATGCAATTCTAAAGCTGATGTATGAGGCCATTGTAAGCATGTTGCTGCATCATTATACCAACTAGTTGACTATACAGAGTCAGAGATCATAATGGTCCCAGAAACTAAAACATATACCAGGTATTAAAAACACATATCAGGTATTGAAAGCACATACCAGGTATTGAAAACACGCATCAGGTATTGAAATTTTACAGATATGGCATGTTCAAAGTGAATCAAGCAACTCTAAAGAAATTTTATTTTCAAACTTAAGTTTTAGAAAATATTGATGCCTGTAAAGACAAAAATAATACTCAAAAACTTTAGTTTCAGGAACCCGTAAACATTGTTTTGCAACTTTAGAAGCAGTTTTAAAAGTATTTGATGTTACAATTTTCTCACTGGTTAAAGACTTTATAATGCTTTTTGAGAGAGTTTTTTTTAGCTTTTTCTATTATCTTTGTTGCAGACTTGATGTCCTGATTTTTTGTGATCAAATATTTTTTTACGTATCAAACTTAGCAGTTGCTCTCTATCTTTGCCATAATAAGAAACTTTATAGCTGAATCATTTTTTAGATATTTTCATTCCACTCTTAGCTTTTATGCCTAGTGATTTCACTTCTTGGCAGGTTGCGCAGCCAAGCTTTGTGACAAACAAAGCGACTTGTATTTGGAACAAAACTCTGTTTTTTGCTATAATGTCCATCAACTTGGCCAGCTGTAGTCGGTGTATTGTCTGGTCTACTGGTAGGTAAATCTAACTTAGTAATTTAATTTGGTCTGCCGAAGGATAATTCCTTGGGCTGCTGATAGGTAAATATGATGTTTTAATTTTGATTTCTTGTGTTTCTTTTGCGCTTAACTTGATTTTTTTCTGAACCGAAGAGTCAACCGAGAAGAAACTAGTGGTTTTATTCATATTTAGTTTTTTGTTATTTTGTTTAATTGATACTTTTATATTACTGCCACAAATAGCGTAAAGTTAGTTTTTCTAAAAAATCATTATAAGGAATTATGAGATTTTCGGACAAACCTTGCACAGAAAATATAAGAATTTCTTATATATTATTAAATTGAAATTCAGACAAAAAATAATTGGGCATCATCAAAACTAACAAAATAAACGAGAAATTAAGTGAAAGTAAATTATTTTCAAGCAGATTTAGATTTTACTAAGAAATAATAAATTCTAAAATGCAGCGCTGGAATTTTTTCATATCTGCACAATATGTTTTACTTGATCTTTACAACCCACACTTGCATTTTTCGACAGCCCACATTTTCCCACAACCTAGATTTGTATTTTAAAGAACTTTTAATATAACTATTTTAGGATTAAAAATATTCAAAAAATAAATATATTTTAAAAAATAAATTCATCAGGCCTTGGCATGAATCGGGAGCGATCTCTTCCGTCACATGAAACACGCTCTTTAATGGAATATTTATAAATTGCAGGTGCGATAAAAAACGCTCGCTAATTTAGTTACGAGAGTAAAAAATCACGCTCGTCCTAAAAATTTGGTAGAGAGAAAACTAATAGTTTACTTGATTTTATATTAATTTTTTTTCATAAAAAGTTTTTGTTAAAGATTCTTGGTTAATTAAACAAAAAAGTTCGTTTATATTTAAAAACAAAATAATCTCTATTCAAATATCTTTAATTACATTTTTTCAACTGAGGTAAAATGTTAAAGTTATACTTCAATTAAAAAACTCTTTTTTTAAGTTAACTTACGTCATTCTTTTGAAATTAGAGCACAAATTTCTACGAACAATGAACGGTGATTTGTGAGTGAGTCTTCTTTATATAAAATGTTTACAGCACACATGAAATATACATTACAGCAGAAATGAAATAAAATTTTATTTATTTATATAAGTTTAATAATAATATTAAATTGTGTAATAAATACAAATTATGAGAAACTTTGTTAATTTAATTTTGTAAAAGCATTTCCTAAAAACCATATGTATAATAATAAAAGTTTTTAATCTAATTTTGAAAAAAATATTTCTAAAAATATTTGTGTTTTGAATTGAATAGTTTGCTTATTGTTAAAAACAAAATAATCACTATTCACATTTAATAGCGTTTTGGCAGTCGAAGTAAAACAATTAAAAAACTCGTTTTCTAAATATTAACCTACGTCATTCGGTGAATTAAAGCATTAGAAATGTTTTTGGCCAAAATTTAACTAAATTTACAAAGCTTTTGTTATTAAAATTATAACTTATATTATTTATAACTTAATTAAAATTATAAATTTATTTGAGAAAAGAAAAAGTTTAAGTTTGTGAAAGCGCTTGCTAAAAAAGGTTATAAAAGTTCTATTAGCATTAGTAACAAAAAAATATTAAATATGTTTTAACAAAAAGAAATCGTTATTTGATTGCTTTAATGATGGGAAAACATTATGAATTTATATTTTAATGATGGGAAAACATTATATTTTAATTAAACGAATGAAACAATGAAAAATGAAAGCTTATGAACTTCTTTCAAATAAATTGGATGTAATAATAAAAAAAATTGACTGTAGTATCAAGTTAAAAATGAAGAATAACTAAGAAAATACATAAAAGATAAATTTATTCTTTAAAACAAGATCATTAAGAACTAGATGGAAAAAAAAACACAATCAGATGCGATCAAATAATAAATAAGTATTTAGGAAGTCAAAAGAATTTTAAACGTTTTATCAGGCAGTGCGCTGCTAAATAATAATTTTAAAATATTTATCGTCTAAAGAACGCTGTATAACAAATTAAAAATTACTAAAATTGTGTGGAACACCCATATCCAAAAATAAAAGATTGCTCCTATAACTTAATGACGAGCACACATAATTGCGCTTGCTAAAAAAATATTTGAGTTTTACAGGCGTGAAACATCGCACTGGACAATTTTCTTCATGACAAGGCCTGATATATATATATATATATATATATATATATATATATATATATATATATATATATATATATATATATATATATATATATATATATATGTATATATATATATATATATATATATATATATATATATATATATATATATATACACATACATACATACATACATACATACAGGCGCGAATATATATACATACATATATATATATATACATACCTATATACATATATATATATATATATATATATATTTATATATATATATTTTTATATATATATATATTTATATATATATATATTTATATATATATATTTATATATATATATATATATATATATATATATATACATATATATATATATATATATATATATATATATATATATATATATATATATATATATATATATATATATATATATAATATATATATATATATATATATATATATATATATATATATATATATATATACATATAGTATAATTTTTATCAAATTATTTGGGTTTTAGTAAATGTTTATGCATTTGTTTTATATTTGTTTAGTTATGCATAATATTTGCAAAATTTCTGATAAAATCCTTAAGAGTTTATTTAAAAACTTTGGCATATAAAATTCGAAAAACTCAATCACACATGATAAACACATATAGATAACATACAAATCTATATCAACATTTCAACCACATATTATACCAATTTGGTATATATCTACATAATATATACATATGTGTATATATATATATATATATATATATATATATATATATATATATATTATATATATATATACATACATATATATGTATATGTATATATATATATATATATATATATATATATATATATATATATTATGTATATATATATACATACATATATATATATATATATAATATATACATACATACATTACAGGCGCGAAACATCGGACTTGACAATTTTCTTCATGCAAAGGCCTGGTATATATATATATATATATATATATATATATATATATATATATATATATATATATATATATATATATATATATATATATATATATATATATATATATATATATATATATATATTATAATTTTTATCAAATTATTTGGGTTTCAGTAAATGTTTATGCATTTGTTTTATATTTGTTTAGTTATGCATAATATTTGCAAAATTTCTGATAAAATCCTTAAGAGTTTTTCTACATTCTTTAGGTGCATGATTTGCAACGCGTTCTTGAAGAAAATAAAAAGCAAAGAGACTTAACCCTCCTTGAAAAAGATCAAGAACTTCAAAAACAAAAAGATCTCTTACAAAATGCAGAACAAAAGATAAATGCTTTTCTAAAAAAAGAAGAAGATTTAAGATATAAAGCAGATGGTTTTAATTCAAAAATAACTGGTATTTAACTGGTTTTTTTTAAAGAAAAAAAAAAAAAATTTAAATATGCAAATATATAAATTTTGTTGAAATATATGCATGAATTGCAAAAAAATATTAATAAGTTCAAGTTTAAAAAGTTCAGCCGAAGGTGAAGTAAATCAAAATCAAAAACATAGAATTAAAAAACACACAAAGTGAAATCCATGCAAATAGTTATGAGCAAAAAAAAAAAAAAAAAAAAACAGTGTAACTTTGAAAAACTATCTTAAATTTACAAGTATCCATTTCATTTATTAAAAGTTGTTATTATAGTGCTATTGTAGTGCTCATCAAAGTTTTTGTATTTGATGACATTTTTATTCACAAAGAAGAGAAATGAACCTTTCTCATGATACATAGAAATATGATCAATCATTTTGATAAAGCCGTGTAAGATTTCTACATATTATTGTATATCAATATGTAGAAATACGACCAATCGTTTTTATAAAGTGGCAACTAATACATTATTTTTTATTTTTTATTGATGTTTTATTAAAATGAATAATTATGTTCTAACATTTTTGTATTATCACATATTTATTTTATTAATAACTAAATTTATTAAATAAATATAAAAATAAAAGTATAAATATTTATTAAAAAGAAATGTTAGGATAAAATAAAATTATTTTTTTAAAAGCTGTTTTTCTGCCTTTTTATTGGTAAAAAAACCAATACTATTCCTAAAATGAAGAGTATAAAAGTTCAGTGGAAATATCAAAAATTATCATCATAACATATGATATGATTCTTGAAAAAGCCAGCACAAGACTATCTAATTTATCGACCTTTTTTTTTTTTTTTTTTTTGACTTTTAGACTGGTAGATTGTTGTATTTTATAATCCTGTCATAACAAATGCCTTTCTGTGATTTTGTTTTTAGTATACAAGACATAAAATAATTTTTATTTTATTTCTTTTTAAATAAACAAAAAATAACATTAAAAAAAAAGATTTTTAATTCTAACAATAAGTTTCTAGATAGAAGCAAGATAAGTTTTTAGGCAGTGCGTTTGTTCCAATTCTTTTGTGTTCTTCTATTTTTATAATTTTTATTTTTCTTTTTTTCTTTTATTCTTATAATTCATTTAATATTTAGGATTAATGCAGAATTAGGTTCCATATAACAAATTAGCTAAAAAAAAAAGGGCATAGCAGGTGAATTTAATTAAGTCAGAATAATTTTGAAACTGAAGCTAATTTGAAGAGCTTTTTGTTTAAAGTATACTTCAAACCTATTCTATACTATGGGATTAAAAACCTACAAATAAATAAAGTATACTTTAGACCTATTCTATAATATGGGATTAAAAACCTACAACTAAATAAATTGTATATCAAAAATATCTGCAGTGGTTGCAGTATTTTATTTTAGTTTTTTGTAAGTTATGTATTCTTCTTTGTAAACATAACGTATATATGGTTTTTACTGAATATATACAAGTAGTAGTGTTGACAATATCATCAATACTATTATATATCATTAATATATGTGAATATAGTATTGATGGCATTGATGACATCACACTGACATCATCAATGGCATTTTATACCAAACTAAGTGCAAGTAGTTATAATATTAAAAACGATAAGCTCAGTAAGCAGTTACAGCTATGTATAGTTGTTATACAGCTATATACAGCTATGTAAGCATTTTTTTAAAATTTATATCATAGCATAATAACTGAGTATTCTAGTTTAAAAATACAAACAAAAAGTTTAGAGGTTTGTAAAATTAAACAATCACTTAATTATATATATTTAAACTCCTGCAGATGGATATTTTTGTATAAGTTATGTCACTGTTTAAATCTATAAATGCAATGCTTTATATATATACATATATACAGAACCGTGATAAAGCTACCCCACACATCCAATTGGGGAGGGGGAAGGGCAGCAAATTTAGGGGGCCCTTTTGCAAAGAGGGAGAGAGAGAGAAAGAGATAGATATAAATAAATCAGATCTTATATTGGGGCAAGTGATGTTCTTTAGCCATGGTTAAGGCAACTTACCCCGGAGAAAAAAAAATCTAATATAAAAAACTCCAAATTTAGTTGTGGGTAAAGGTAGAAGGAACTTGTAAAGCCTTAAAAACCTTGAATGTTAATCATTCTAGTGGTGATATCACATCAAAAATATTTCGTACTAATTTCCCTCAGTCAATGTAAATAGTGAAGCTCTGGCAGATAAAAATTTCAGTATGAAATCATTATGTTGTAAACTGTAAGAGCTGTTTAGCCATACTTGATTGATTTCTTTTAAAAACAGATTTCATTTTTATTGTAATGGAATCAACTTGATAGCAGTATCATTTTTATTATCTTCACTTTCAAGTATTTAACAAATCTTATAATCTTGATTTCTTTATTTTTTCCAACGAAGTAATTCTTAAATCTAAATTATGATTTAAATTGTTCCAGGTTAGAAGTACAATCTTTACCTTCTTTCAAAAGTACAAGTTTATCTAAAAAGTATTTTAAATTATGCGTTTAAACATATTTTTTTATATGCTGTCTTAAAAATAAAATTGTCTGATTATAAATAAAATAAAATAGTCTACTAAAGTTAGCTAGACTACACAGTTTCTGTCACAATTGGAAACATGTCAAAGCAGATAAATTTGTTATTTGTGTGCAACTGAATAGCTAATAAAAGTTATTTTGTTGTGTTCAACTGAATATCCAATATTCAAGTTGATATTTATTTTTATTTACTTTAATTACTATATACATTTTATTTAATTATTTATTTTATTTTTCTGCACTTAAAATAGAAATAAATGCTTAACTCTAATAAAATTTGGATAAAGTATTATAAATATTATTAGATAATTCTTTTTTTTTTTTTTTTAGAGTACCAAAAGAAAATAGAAGATCTATATTTAGAGATTGAAAATGAAAAAGTAAATATTTTTATTAGTAATACAAAATAAATTTTTTTGGTCACATGTTTAAAGGTTCTATTTTTTTTTTTCAGAAAGTTTCACAAAATTTAGCAAGAACATTTGAAGAACAGATGCAGGAAAAACAAAAAGATTTTAATGAACAACTTGCAAAAAAAGAGCGTTTATCACAATCTAAAGTTTATGAGATCAAAGAGCAACTACGAAGAAAATCACAAGATCTTTCTGAAGCAATCAGTTCTCATAAAAATGAATTGGAGACAATTGTCAAAGATACAAAGCAGCAAATGCAGTCAGAGCATTCTAAAGTTGTTCGTAAGCTTGAGCTAAAAATTTCTGACATGAAAAAGGTAATGAAAGAATTGCGGGCACAACTTGAAGAAAAGGAGTTGAAATGTGTCAGTTTAGCAGCCAATCTTGAAAATGAGATTAATTTTGGAAAACAATTAAAATTAAGCTCTGAGTCATTAAGTAACTCATTAATAGAATCTGAAACAAAAATTAATGAACTAAACCAAAGTGTTACACTGAAAGATAATCAGTTTCAAGAAGAATACTCAAAGAAAGAGTTTATAAAGAGTGAAATGCTTCGCATGTCTCAAACAATTGAGTTAATGAATATAGAACAAGAACGAAAAGACTCCGAGTTTCTTGACTGGCGTTGTAAATCAGAAGAAGCATCATACAAAATAGAATACTTGGAATCACAATTAAGAGAATTGCAAATATCATTTGAAAATAAATCACTGGATTTTCAAGACATCATAAAAAGTAAAGATTTAAAAATAGAAGAAATAAATTGTAAACTAAAGTCTACTGAAAAAGATCTTGAAGATTGTATTAGTGAGCTTCAAATGGAGAGGAAATTGTCTGAAGCAACAAAAATTAGTATTGCCGAGAAAGAGACCCAACTGCAACAGTTATCTTTAGATCTAAATTTAGGTAAAGAGTTTTTAGAAGAAAATATTTCTCTTAAAAAAACCAATGACTTTCTGAACAAAGACTTGGATAATCTGAAAATAATGTGTGATGAATATAAAGGAGATATTAACAAGTTGAAAATAATGTGTGATGAATATAAAGGAGATAATAACAAGTTGAAAATAATGTGTGATGAATATAAAGGAGATATTAACAATTTGAAAATAATGTGTGATAAATATAAAGAAGATATTAACAATTTGAAAATAATGTGTGATGAATATAAAGAAGATATTGACAATTTGAAAATAATGTGTGATGAATATAAAGGAGATAATAACAAGTTGAAAATAATGTGTGATGAATATAAAGGGGGTAATACTGAGTTAAACTTATTTGTTTCTAGAAAAGAAATAGAAATAGAGTTACAGAAAAATGAGATATTAGTACTAAATGAAGAACTGAAGTGTTTGAAAGATTCAAACCAGTTTTATGAAGCAACTATATTTGATTATAAAACTGAGCTTGAAAGATTAAAACAGTTACAGGTTCAACATGATAAGTGCATAGATGAGAAGAATATAGAAAATGAAAGTTTTAAAAGTCAAGTTGAAGTTTTAAAAACTGAAATTGATTTATTAAAAAAAAAAAGTTATCAACTTGAAGCTGAAATAAGTGCTAAAAATGAAGATCTCAACCTATCAAAGTCTGCAATCTCCAGTTATGAAAAGTTGATAGAAGAAAAGGAAAAAGAATTTAGAATACAAGTTAACAGCCTAATGGAGGACAAAAATATTTCTGTTGCCCATTATTCTGAAAAGATGGAGGAAGTAAGAAAAAGTAGCATATTGGAACTTGAGTCCCGTTACAAACAAAAAATAAAAGACTTAAGTAAAGGATATGATGCAAAAATAAATACAATGCATGAAAACTTTGAAAAAAATGAGCAAACATTAACTATAGAATATAAAAATCAACTAAATAAATTAGAGAGTAAAATTGAAACTTTTCAGGCTCAACAAAATAAGAGAAGGAAATTCCTGGCAAAAATAACTAATGATTTACAGAACACAAATACTTGGCTAGATGCAAATATGCATGATAATTGTAAAATTGACCTTTATGATGATAACACAGAAAATAATTATCTTAAAAGTGATGAAAAAGTTTTGCGAAGACAACTTATTGACATTGTTAAACAGAACAGAAATAAGATTGAAGAACTTGTTGTAAAGAAATCTTCATACTATCATAATTATATTAAATGTTCAGATGAGAGGGAAAAACTTTTAAAGGAATTAGAGTTATTATCAGCACAGCTAGATGAGAAATGTTCAGATGAGAGGGAAAAACTTTTAAAGGAATTAGAGTTATTATCAGCACAGCTTTGTGAAAATACAACTCTTCTCAGCGAAAAGGAAATTTTTATTAGCAATTTAAATAAAAAAATTTCATTTCAAGAAAAAGATGATTTAGAAAAATATAACCAGTACCAATACCAAAATAATTTATTAAAAGCTGAAATTGAAAAACTAGAATCTGTTAACTTATCTTTATTAGAGAGTGTCAATAATTGCCAAAGAGATTTGCTTGCTAAAACAAAAGATGTTCAACTGTTAACTCAATCCTATGAGGAAAAACTCTCTTGTTATTCATCTGAAAATGAGCAACTATTATGTCATATATCATTACTCAAAAATGAAAATGAAAAGTTAAATGACAACTCTTTGTTAAATACTAAGCTAGAAGCAGAACTTTCTAATGCATTAAAAATTCAAGAGGATTTAGGTTTGAAAATAAATACAAATAATGCAACAATTGAAGAACTTAAATTAGAAATTCTTAAATATCAATCTTCAAATAATGACTTAGATAAGAAAATAAAAAGTTTGTTAGATGAAAACACCAATCTTCATGCCATGCTAAAATTAAATGAAATTGAGTATAATGAGAAATACGAGAGATTAGAAAAAGAATATACAGGCGTTAAAGAAAATTTAGAAAGAAATATCAAAGAATATACTGACATTAAAGAAAATTTAGAAAGGAATATCGAAGAAATTGAATTATCAAACATTAAAAATATAGAATCTTTAAGAAAAGAAAACCTGGGAGAGTTAATGCTTGAATTATCTAAAAATAACGACTTAAACAAAACCAAGTTGCTCGATATTAAACAAAAAGCTGAACTCAAAATTAAAAAAATTAAGAGAGAATTTTCTGAGAAAATTGTTCAGAAAGAGTCTAGAATTAAGGAACTTGAATCATTGTTAAATGTTCAGCAATTAGAAGTATGTAGAAAAGAAGAAGCAAATATTACTTTGTTAACAGAACAATATAATTTAGAAAAAATAAAGATCACAGAACAGCTAGTTCACAATCATGGGATTGAGTTAGAGACTTCATGTAAAAAATTTGTAGAAGAAATAGATTTCCTAAAAAAACTTTTAAATGAAAAAAATGCTGAGTTGCTTATTGAAAAAGACCGTGTCATTCAACTTCAAGAGAGTATTGAACAAATGACTATAGATAAAATGTCAGCATTAAAAAAACAAAAGTTGTATCTTGAGGAGGATCATCAAGCTGAATTAAAAAAGGTGATTGCAGATGCTCAGCAAAAAACTGAAATGATTGAAAAAAAACTGACAGCAAAAATTGAGGAAAAAGATTTTGAGTTTAACTCTAAAGTTAAACAAATGCTAAAGGAGTTTCGTTTAGAGCAGTGTCAAAAAGATCATAGTATTGATCAAGCAGTACAAGAAGCTATCGAAAAAGCACAATGTCATGAGCGCAAAATTATAATGGAGTATGATGAGCAAATTAATGAATTAAAAAAGGAGTTATTTTTGAGAGAAGATGATTTGATCAATTTTCAAAATGAAGCTAATGATAAGATATCTTCTTTGACCGAGGCAAATGTTAAATTGGCAGAGGAACATCAAGTTCTTTTAAAAAATATGGAAGTTGCCTATAATGAACGACTAGAGTCTATAATAAAATCACACAAGGAAGAATTGCAAAGTTTAACTGACAATCACAAGACTCAGGAAGAAATGGAGATTCTGTTTAAACAACAAACTCAAGTTCTGATAGACGAATATGAAAAAAAGCTTATTAATGTACAAGAAAGTCACCATGCTGAAATGCTTTCTCAAGAGAAAAAGTTAAAATCACTTGCTAAGAAGAATAAATTAGAGATGAGAAAATTGCTTAATGAAAAGAATGATTTACAAAATGATACATCATCAGTAAGAATTTTTATTAAACACTTAAATAATCTATTCCATATTGTTTATATATATATATATATATATATATATATATATATATATATATATATATATATATATATATATATATATATATATATATATATATATATATAAATATATATATATATATATATATATATATATATATATATATATATATATATATATATATATATATATATATATATATATATATATATATATACTGTAACTGTAAATGTACAAAGTATATTTAAGCAGCTCAACATTGTTACATAATTTTGAATTTGTCGACTTTAGCTTCAGGGAAGAATTAAAAGAAATTAAGAATACTAAGAACTATTAAGAATACTAGTAAATAGTCCAGTAAAAAGTTTGTTAAAAAATAGGTAAAAAACATTACACAATTTCATTAGCTGATTAATTTCTTAACATTAACTTTCATTAATTTTACAGTATTCTGATAAAAATTAACTTTCTTAATTAAATAGAATTGAATCACTAATCACCTCAAATCTTATGATGTAGTGAGAACTTATCTGATCTTTTCTCATAGCTTATTTAGTGGTAATTCGTGCTGAATTGTCTAATAGCACAATGTTCAATTAATGCTCAAACAAAAGTTGTGTATATAATTTTCAGTAACTCACAGCCGAAACCTTTGAATATATTTCTTATCAAAAATCTTATCAAAAAATCTTATTTGGTTTACACAGTCAAACCACACTAAGATTCTTCCTAGACAGTGGTATCAAAAAGTACTTCGATATATTTTGTATTAAATAAATTCTTTTTGGATTGTTTAATAGTTTGGATTTTAGTAACCATTTATTGGACCAGTTGATAGTTATCTGTTGATAGTTATCGGTTGTTTTGCAGAATATAAAAGAATCTTCCTTTGATAATACTTTCGCATCATCTGCATTTTTAAAATATTTACAAAATTATCAGACAAATTATTAATTTAAATAATGAAAAAATTTGTCAATAACAGAGCACTGCACACACTAAATATTTCCTTCCAACATGAGATTTTTTCTGTAATAATTCTTTGTCTTCTATTAAAGATACCTCAATATATTTTAAGTTCTAATTTTGCAAAAACATCTTAGTCAGGTAAAAGTAATATTTTAAAATTTAAGTATAGAAATTTTATATAATACTAGGTTGACTACAGTTAATTTATTACTAATATGTGTATAATATGTATATGTATATATATATATATATATATATATATATATATATATATATATATATATATATATATATATATATATATATATATATATATATATATATATATATATATATATATATATATATATATATATATATATATGTATGTGTCTGTATGTATATGTATGTATGTATGTATGTATGTATGTATGTATGTATGTATGTATGTATGTATGTATGTATGTATGTATGTATGTATGTATGTATGTATGTATGTATGTATGTATGTTATGTATGTATGTATGTATGTATGTATATTAACTTAAGCTGTTAATTTAGGAAAAGATTTCAGATTTGACTAAGGAATTAGTTTCATTGCGAGAAAAGGAGAAAGTTCTTGCAATGCAAGTTGAGGAAAGTTCACCAGTTTCACCTGATAAATTTCGACCAGCTACCTTAGTGTTAGATCAAAACATAAGTAATTCTCAGAGTTCTTCACCTAGAACTCCACAGCCTATAGAGTTTGAGGTAAAGTTGTTTGAATGTTTATTTAAAAATTTAAGAAATAGTTTAAATGATTTCTGTATTTTAAACATTTTTTAAATTTAGTATCTGAGAAATATTCTCTTCCAGTACATGATGGGAAAACAGCGAACTGTAAGTGAATTAAAGAAATGAATTTAGTAATAAATTTACTAATTTACTAAATTTAATAATTTCCTTTAATAATGTTTAAATGCAACCAAATCAGTATGTGCACAATGTAGTCTTGGCTAAAAATAACAATAATAACCTTTTTATTGATTATTAAAAGCAAGACTTTTACTGATTAGAAGCAATAATAACTTTTTTATTGGTTTTTGAAAACAAGACTTTTACTGGTTAGAAACAATAATGCAAATCGAAATGTTAATTTTAAATAGTAATTAAAACTAAATTGTTATATGATTTATATTTCTATCCTGTTAGTTTATTTGTATGTGAAAAGTATCAAATTGCAAATATTTATGATATTTGCAATAAAAATAAGTTGGTTTTTAAACTTCTATGCTATGATAAATAAAGTAGAAACAATTTTCAACTTTTCTGAGGTTGCAAAAAAGACATTAAGAAATTTTACTAAATAATGGAGAAGTATATTTTCATAAAATATAAGAAACAGCTGTAAGTCTCTACTGCTTTTGAAGTGCTATCTAAATGGTTGTTTTCTGTTGTGTTTTTTTTCTCATTGATGTTATAAAAAAGTTAATGTCTAAATTAATTTTTTCAACTAGCTATCAACCAAGCAACCAGCTATTAATGAACCAGCTATCAACCAACCAGCTACTAACTATCCAGTTATCAACCAACCAGCTATCGACCAACCAGCTAATTTTTATCTCATACTTTATCTATATGCAGTAAGACAAAAGATGTCTTTTATCATGCTGCAGAAAATTGCACCTCCTTTATAATATCCTGGATTTAGGCAGGCCTTCTCAGGAGATGCGTGCGGTCGCACGCCTTGAATGACCACGCATATATATTTTTTGTTGATAACATGGCCATGGTTTTTTTTTTGCATTTTTTAAAAATGACGCATTTTAAAAATGCGCTGAAAAAATCAAACTAATTAGTCATCTTATTGGTTTTTTTTTATTAATAATAATTTATTATTTTAATTATTTATGAGAAAATAAAAACCTAACAATAATGCTCATATATATATTTGTAATTAATTATAAAATAAAAAGATAAAAATAATATATAAATACATATATTTTTATTTGTTTTCATGCATTTAATAAAATTCTGGCGATTTTTTGTTAAGTTTTTGTTTACTAAATGAATTACGTCATTAAGTAATTATTATTTCTTCCTGTTGGCTTGACAAGGTTTTAACTGATACTTTTTATATAAGGTGAATTAAAAAAAAAAATTTTTTTTTATATTTATTAAAATTATTTATTTTGTTGTTTTTTTTTTGTTTGTTTATGTACTATTATTTTGGTTGACATATAGATATTTAGAAAAGATTTAAATATTTAAAAATTTAACTTAGCAGCATTATAAAAGTTCAATCTTATAAAAATAAAGCAATATGAATAAACGTAAGAAGTGTAAATAAAAACTTCGACAAACCAATTACTCAATTAAGTAATAATAAAGATGTAAAACTAAAATATTTTTCTGAAGTTGCTCTTGGTCTTGCAAAAAAAACTGTTTTTGGTTTGATAACTTTCATGAATGTTATGAAAAAACACTCAAGAAGAGTGCCACCAGTTTTTAAAAAATTTCTTTGTTAATTATTTTTAATGAATGAGTTCAATACTTATGCAATTCTTTTGTTACGTAACTCTAATTCTTAATAATAGATAAAAAAAAATCATGATAACCGCTCGATAATGTAAGGGATGTAATTTAAGTAAAAAATACAGTATCAAAAAAAACAAGTTTATTATAAAAAAGTTTTTATAAAAATTTTAAATTAGTATAGATTTATCTGCATTTTGTAAAAGTTTCTAATACAAACTGCCTTACTGATTTGCAGAAATGAGACCTATAAGTTGAATTTGTTTTTTTACCTTGTTTTCCATGTAACATAAGTGCAAGTGGCATTTTTAGTAATAAGTTTGCTCTCTTTTGGCCGAACTCAAAACTTTTAAGCTTATTTTGTTTATTAGACTAACAGCTTTCATACAAAATTGCTAAAAGTTTAATTCAAAAGTTTAAATAAGCTAATATTTGGTAAAGTTGTTGCGCGTGTAACGTAAGTTAAAAATAGAATTGCCCATATATGTTACTTTAATGTTTTTATTTTCTCATTAATAACTATAATAATGAATTATTTATAATAATTAAAAAAAGATGAGCAATTAATTTTGTTTTTTTCAGCGCGTTTTTAAGATGCGTCATTTTTTATAAATGCAAAAAAAATCGTGGCCATGTTATCAACAAAAATATATATGTGCGTTGTCATTCAAGGCGTGCGACCGCACACGTCTCCTGAGAAGGCCTGATTTAGGCAAACATAGAAGCTTTTATTTGTTAGCCTACCCATTTGATTTCTTTTTCTTGTGTTGCTATTGTCTTCTAATTATAATCATCTTTTCTGCAAAAACAACTCTCTAGAGAACAAACACCTTTTTATCATTGCAAGAAATCTGTGCAAAAAAGTCTGTCGCTAGCATCCATAATTCTCAGGTTTTAATTCTTAGATTTTAATATCATGTATTTTTGAAACTTTTGAAAAATCTTTTATAATGTCATTAATAAAGGCAATTCCATCTCTCATATGTATATATGGTTTAAGCTTATGTCCAAATAAATATTCAAATCACTCCTGCGTCTGTGACTAAAGTTGTTTTCCAGTTTAACTCTTCTACATCTTGTGATCCAGATAATTTAACAATCTTTTTTCCCGCTTTCTACATCGTTTTTATATCACGATTTTTATCATTGTTATATTACCCACAACTAATTTTTTAACCACTCATTTGGCTTTTAATTATCTGGTTTTATTACAATATTTATTTAGTCTTATTGCTATATTTATTAATATATTACTTATCTCCTGATTTTCATATTATTACTGTTAGTCTTACAAAGTGGTCTCCAGAATATTTTTTATTACTCTAGAAACTATTGTATTAAAGTGAAACTTGTTTTCCCGCCTGGTGGAAAATGGCTAACAACTTACTCTTTTAAGTTTTTTGTTTTGTTGTTGACTTGTTAACCATTACAATTGAAAGGTTTGATTGATATATCAAAAACTTTTAATAAGTGGAGCTATATTCTCCAGTATTGACAGACATCACTTTTTGATTTGCTTAGCTTAGAATAGGCAGTTATTTTTTAATGTGATTTTTCTTCTGACAGTTTAGGACTTTGAGTGGTTAATTTTAACCTAAACGCATAAGTCAGTTACTGCTAATAATTACCACAATATTATTATTTTAATAAGTGGCAACAATCGTTTAAAATATTGTTGATATTCATATATAAACTTTACTGAGTTCTTTACTTTATGTCTTTGTGGGTTCACTTGTAACTTCTAACGGAAACCATATAAACAACTTATTGTAAAGTTTATTTAGCATCTTTTAAGGTTCTCTTTATCATTCTTGCAATTTTCTTACTCCTTGTACCATTCTCTACCTCTATAAATGTTCTTGTTTATTCTTTTAAAGTTTCTAAGCATTCTACAAAGCTTTGAAATTAAAAAATTATTCTTTGGTTTTAATGATTTTATGAAAGCAGTTGCTAACTTATGATTTTAAAGAAAAGATTTCTTCTTACTAAAAATTATTTAAAATATATATTGAGTAGTGTTAAGAAAAATTATAGATTATTATGTTATTTTGTCTTATAATTTTTAACATCTTTAATTTTTGTTGTTAATTATTTTATAAGCTGTGCCGCATACAATCTTAAGTGTCTTAACTATAATATGTTTTTGTTTTAGCAAATGGCAAAGGTTTTAACTGCCATTGTTCATTTTTCACCAACACAAGTAAAACAAATACTTGCAAAAGTTGAAGAACAAGAAAATCAAAATGTAAGTTTTTTTTCTGAATAAATGTAAAAATGTTTTTTTCTTGTTGTATGTATGTATGTATGTATGTATGTATGTATGTATGTATGTATGTATGTATGTATGTATGTATGTATGCAGGGGCTATTCTAGACCGTTTTTCATCAAATTTTAATTTGGGCGTCGATTTGGGGGCCGCCCAAATTAAAATTTGATGACCTTTTTTTTTTTTTTTTTAAGTTTTTTACGACGAATATTGTTTTTTTTTTTTTTTTGTGAAAAAACGCAGATTTTCCATTGAAATTCTCCATGACGGGAGGGGTACCGTTGCCTAAATTTTTTTCCTAAAATAGTCTCTGGTATGTATGTATGTATGTGTGTATGTATGTATGTACAGGTCTTCTCAGGAGATGTGCGAGATTGAATGCCTTGGATGACCATGCGTATGTTTTTTTTGTTGTTGTTGAAAACTTGGCCAAAATTTTTTTGCATTTATTAAAAATGGCGCATTTTAAAAATGTGCTGAAAAAACCAAACTAATTTATCATATTATTTTATTTTTCTTATTTATAATTTATTATTATAATTATTAATGAGAAAATATAAAAAATATAAAATAATATATATATATTTTTTAATTTTTTTTTCTTTAATTTTTTTTGTTCTTATTACAATATATTCTGGTGTAATGCAGTTGTACATAAAGTATAGAAATACATAAACTCGATACCTCTTTAACAATCCAATAGAAATCATTTGTGGATGAAATGGGAGGGGGTTAAAGCCCCAGGCTGGGTAAGTTTTGGGCCCCCGAAATATTCAAAAGCAAATTTTTTTTTTTTTTAATGAAGTCGTCTCTATGCTGTGGCACACAAAAAAAGCCTCTAAAATAAAAATAGCTTTCTGTAAAAGCCTAATCTGTCACATATGGAAATATAATCACCTAACCATTGTTATTATTTTTTATTTACAAATACTATAGATATGCTTTTTCATAGTGATTATTTAACGACATATGTGAAGAACCACAAGCGATTTTTATCAAAAAATCGCTTGTGGTTTTTAACACATGTCATTAAATTTCTAATAAAATCAAATGCTATTTACGCTAGATCAGCTTATTATTTGAGGGGCTTGCTATGATTTAAAAAAAAAACGTCTATAGTATTTCTAAATAAACAATTATTATAATCGCTTCTAAAATTTAGTTTAAAAACATAAGGTTTTTAACAATATAAAGAATATTAAATATTATATTTTTACATTTAAAGTTCTAAATAACGGTGCTTAGTTTAAGCACATTTTTATTTTAAATTTGTGTAACATAAGTTAAAAATACATGCATTTAAGTTCTTGCGCTTTTTTGTTACGTTTTTGTTTACAAAATGAATTATGTCATTAAGTAATTATTATTTCGTTGCGTTGGTTTGACAAGGTTCAAGGTGAAAGTTTTTATATTAGGAGAATTAAAAAAAAAATCTTTCATTTTTTTTCAATGTTAAAATTATTTATATTATTGTTTATTTATTTGTTTCTGTATTCTTATTTTAGTTGACATATAAATGTAAATAAATAAATAAAAGTAAGAATTATATAAATATTTTTATTTAGACATTAAAAAAAAAATTATCTGGTTTTTTCCTATTGTAAAAATATTTTTTCCTACTAAAAAAAAAAATTATTTGGTTTTTTCCTATTATAAAAAAAATCAGTCAGAACTATTTTTATTTTTGTTTTAGTATAACAAATTGCTTGTTTGGGGAGTCACCCATATTTGTCAATTCATAACCTTCCCTCCTGTCACAAACAATCACATATACCCCTCTCCCTCCTAAACTGTGATAGCAGTTTTTACATCAACAATGTTTATAAATATTTAAATATAAAAACATTAAAAAAAATCAACCTAATGAAAATAAGGCAATACGCATAAACGTAAGAAGTGTAAGTAAAAACTTTGACAAACCAATTTAAATGATTCAATTAAATATTAATAAAGTTGTAATACTAAAATAATTTTTTTAAGTTGCTTTTGGTCTTGCGGAAAAACTGTTTCTGACTTGATAACTTTCATGGTTATTATGAAAAAACAATAAGGAAGAGTGCCACCAGTTTTTAAAAATTTTCTTTGTTAATAAATTTTTTCAATACGAATGCAATTTTTAATAAATGAATTCAATACGAATGCAAATCTTTTTGTTATGTAACTCTAACTCTTAATAATAGATTTAAAAAATCCACGATAATAATCACTCGGTAACGTAAGTGGTTTAACCTAAGTTAAATATACAGTATCAAAGAAGCAAGTTTATTTTCCTTAGCAGGTCACCTCTGATAAATTTTTATATTTTTTAAATTGGTATAGTATTCTCAACATATATTCTCAAAATCTTGTAAAAGTTTTTAATACCGCTTTACTGATTTGCTGAAATCAGACCTAAAAGTTAAAGCAATTTTTTACCATGTTTTACCATGTCCGTGTAATGTTAGTTAAGTGGCATTTTCAGCAATAAGTTCGTTCTCTTTTTGCCAGACTCAAAACATTGTAGCTTATTTTATTCATTAGACTAACAGCTTTCATACAAAATATCTAAAAGTTTAACTTAAAGTTTAAATGGGCAAATATTTCATAAAGTTGTTGCGCGTAACGTAAGTTAAAAATGGATTTGGCCATATATATATTATTTTTATGTTTTTATTTTCTCATTAATCAAAAATATATATATATAATTTTATTTTTATGTTTTTATTCTCTCATTAATAATTATTAATAAGAAGAATAAAATAATATGACATAATATGACTAGTTTCAGTACTCACTGGTTTTTTTAGTAATAGAGCACTCACTTCATAAGCATGAAGTTCCAAGTTTGATTCCCACCATGCACCATGTTCAACTTTTTTCAAATCTCAGCGACCTTGTTTATCAAAGTTTGTTTTAAGAGTTGTGTGTTAGCTCGAGGCTTTTTAATTTTAATCTTTTTGTTATTGTTCTCTAAATCTTGTTAATCAAAGTTGCTGTGCAGAGAAATAGGTTGTGCACATTTCTTCCAGAGGAATAGGGTGGATTTGAACCTTGAACTTCTTGATTGTGAGCCAAAGTTCAACCACTAATCTCCTACCATTTTAAATGTTGTCATAACTTTTAACCTTTTTGCTCCAAAGTACATCTTTTGGCATTCTTGCTAGATCTGAAGTACGTTTTTTTGCATTTTTAAACATAGCTATATATTTTACTCTAAAACTCAAAAACTAAAGGTCACATTGCATTTCTGATTTTCAATTTCAAATCGCTGGTCCACAGCAGTCTGGAAAAACAACAACTTCATGGTTTTATTATAAACTTTGCTTTCATTTTCACTTGGAAAACTAGTTACACTATGGCTTCCTGAGGTTGCCTGTTGACACAATCTCAAGTTAAAAACATTAATGATGAGCTCAAAAATGGTGAGAATAATGATTCTAAAAATAAATGAACGATTTCTCATGATTGTATATATACTTTAGTCTATTTTTCTAACCTTGGAAAGTTAATTTAAACTTATTTGAAATCTAAAACATCATTTACACTTCCTATCCACCTTGTTTTATAGCCATTATGTATAAATATATGTAAAAATTACTAAAGAACGTGTAATAAAGCTATATTTAATATATGTAAAAATTACTAAAGAACATGTAATATATTTAACTAAGATATAACACTTGTACTCTATAGAAATATTTATGTTCTTAATGTCAATATATTTTCAAAGCAACAAGATTTTTTGTTAGTTTTCTATTTACTCATAGTTTTGCTAAAACTATTGCTACAATTTTTTTTAAATTTGAAAAAAATATAAGTGCTATTAGTATACATTTTATTTATTTTATCTTAATAATCATATGGAATGTTAAAAAATTTACCTTAATGACCTACATAAATGTTTCTGTCTGTTTTTTTATCAAAAAATATTTATTCAAAAAAGTGCTGTATATATATAAAATATTTCATTAAAAAAAAGTTTTTTAGATCAACACTGTATATTTATGTTATCTAGGGTGTCAATCTATATAATTTATTTAAATATACTCATTTGCCTCATAGAAAATCTTCAAGGTTTAGACTTAACTATAACATAACAAAATCATAAATAAAGTTATAAAATATCATTGAATAATGTGAAATTTTGTAAAATTTAAGATATTTAAATGTTTTGATTGGCTGTTATGTTTTGATTGCTGTTATGTTTTGATAGATTGTCATATTTTGATAGGCTGTTATGTTATGATAGGTTGTTATGTTTTAATAGGTTGTAATGTTTTGATAGGTTGTAGTGTTTTGATAGGTTGTTATGTTTTGATAGGTTGTTATGTTTTGATAGGCTGTTATGTTTTGATAGATTGTTATGTTTTGATAGGCTGTTATGCTATGATAGGCTGTTATGTTTTAATAGGTTGTTATGTTTTGATAGGTTGTAATGTTTTGATAGGTTGTTATGTTTTGATAGGTTGTTATGTTTTGATAGGCTGTTATGGGCACAATGTTATCTTAGATTTGATGTTTTTATGCTTTTTTTTTAATGTTTTAAAAATGAAATCAATAATTCAAAATAATTTGTAATCTTTTTTGATAATTATAGTTTTTATAAATTTTTTTTTATTTTAATCAAGTAGTTAAGGTTAAAAAGTTAAAGTTTTAAAATAATAACATAAGTAAAAGTCAAATGTTCCCACTTTTTTTTTAGGTAAAGAAATCTTCTGGCTGGTTGTGAAGTGATCAAAAGAAATTTTTCTTAAAAATATTCTTTCAAATTTTGCTTGTTGCTGAACCATTAAAAATAAACGTATAGATGGTTGCCAGGTCATTAAAAGTAGTCTTCTGGATAGTTGTCATGTCATTAATAATAATCTTGAATGGTTTTCACTAAGAATAATCTGCTGGACGGTTGTCAGGTCATTAAAAATCATTTTTTGAATGTTTAGAGAAATGAAAAAGCAGCAAATAATTTTACAAACATGACCAGATCAATTGGTTGAACTCAATTTTATTTTAGTTTTCAATCTTTGTTGAGAGCTATGTATTTAAAAAAAAAAGATTGTATTTATTATTATAAGTTGTTTATTTATTATTATAGTCATATTTTTTGATCAAATAATGAATGACAAAATATTAGTTTTATATATATATTTTTATACTGAAATTAACTTTTATAATTTTATTAATTTTCTTTTCTTTTAGAATTAATTTTTTGGAAGGGTTTTAAATGAATGTGTTTCAGATTTGAGAAAAAAATTTTTTTTCTAGTTTTTCATTTCTAAATGTGTTTAAAATAAAACAGGTTTATGAAAAAAAAAAAAAAAAAAACCGTTTATAAAAAAACAAACAAACATAAAAATATTAAACAAGTTTATAAAAATATTAAACAAGTTTATAAAAATATATAACAGGTTTATAAAAAAAGCAGGTTTATGAAAATAGGAAAAATCTATGTACCATATTTAGTGAGTTTTATGTGTAATATAAAGGAAATTTATTTGTTGTCCTAATTTAACACAAACACATATTTTTTTAAATACAACTCTCCAAGACTTATCTACAGCAGTCAAAGAGGCTGAAGAGAATTTTTTTTTTTAATATATTAATCAGTTATATGAATAATAAAAATTTACATTAATATTAATACTCTACAAAATATATGCTTTGTTTTTATTTTATCCTGTTTAAATGGGTTTCAAAACATATTTAATACTAGTAAAATATATTTGTATAAAAAACAAATATTTTCAGAAATATGTTTTAAAAACCATTGTAACTTGTATAATATTAATTCAAACTTGTTAAATACATAAATGCACTATAATTGAATAATTTATCAATCAATTTATTTTATATTGCGAAATAAAATTTTGTTGAACATCTTAAACTGTAGACACACTATATATGCATGAAATGCCACTAATGACATCATACTGTAATAGAGAGATGTAGACTTCGGTACATATGTTGAATTAAAAACAATATTTAGTCAAAAAGTAGACTAATAAATTTTGATAATTAAGTATAAGTAAAAACCATTAAAATGATTGTACAAAATAAACAACTATTGACAATTTCAAAAACTTTTAATAAAATTTCAATTTAAAACTTTAAACTTAAAATAAAAAACTTAAAATTTAAAAATTTTTAAGTTGTGTTAAAAATTTCATCTGATCAATAAAGCTTGATTTCTGTATTTTTTTTTTTTTTAATTATTACATTTAATTTTTAAATCATATTAATGAACTATTATTGATATATTACATTTAATCATATTAATGAAGTATTATTGATATATTACATTTAATCATATTAATGAATTATTATTGATATATTACATTTAATCATATTAATGAATTATTATTGATATATTACATTTAATCATATTAATGAATTATTATTGATATATTACATTTAATCATATTAATGAATTATTATTGATATATTACATTTAATCATATTAATGAATTATTATTGATATATTTTAATCATATAAATTATTGATATTTGTTTGGTGCTATTCTTTTAACTAAATATTGTTTATTAATTTTAATTTCTCAGGTTAAAATTTAGACAAAGACATAATTTGGCAATTACTTGTATTTTTCCAACCCTTAAAGTAGTAACTCTTCACATTTTCCAGGATGTTTCTATGTTTTTGATGAATTTCCCTTTCTGAAAAAAATTTATTTATACCTTGCATATAAATAGCTTATATTATAAATGAAAAATAAATAATAAAAGGATAAAAAATCTTTTTAAAATTTTAACATCTATGCTTACCTCAACATCCATAACAGATTATACACTCTAGGTATTTTTTTTTTCCCACTAAATAACTCTTGCATGCTGAACACAAGTTGGCTGGGGAGATTTTTTCCCTACCCCAGCCTCTTCGGTGATTTTTTAAAAATAATACAATTATAAGTTTTTTATTTTAAAACTTACACGTGATTGAAGTGATTTTAACTCTTTTTTATAAATATGCATGAAGTGTAATAGTTTCAGGGCTATCATGAAATTTGGAACACTGTGGTAATGTATTATAGCAAACAACATAAAAGTTTTTCAATTATATTTTGAATATATTTTATATTCTGCCATAAGCATCTTTATGGGCAGTGATTCTACTGCATTAGAATGTTATTACTGCATTAGGATGCTACTACTGAATTTGAATGCTACTACTGCATTAGAAGTTAGAGAGATGAAGCCATAATAAAATTTAATTTTCTTAGATTGTTGAGAAAGTAGGTTACAGTCAGTAATCATTTTGTCTTAAAAAGCTCAACTTCTGTTTAAAAATTTAATAGCATCTCAAACACAGTTTTTATTGATTTAGTGCAAGAAGAAATATCTATTAAGCAGCCTGAAAGCATTTTGTTTGGCCATTGGTCATGATTTCTGATAAGCTGTAAGATCAAGACAAAACATGCCCCCCTATGTTCTCTAAAAAGGATTAGTTTTGATCATACTGTACCTAAAAAACTAATTCACTATTGCTACACCACAATTGTTGCCAAGTATTTTCATAAAATGTTGCTTTAAATCAAACACTAAAATCCAAGACTGGAATAAAATAAAAAACTTTTTAAAATAAATTTATAGGAGAACAACAAAATATATACATTTTTTTTTAAATAAGTTACTTATAGGTGAGTCAACCCATACCCTAACCTGTCAGTCATAGTATGCACTAGGGCCATTACCTATTACTAATAAAGTATGATGTCATCAATAGTGTTTCAAGTAGATTTTAATTATTAGTACAAGATTTAAATATATACACACACACATGCAAATTCACACTAAGTCATGCACTTACATATTTTTAAATATACACACACATATGCAAAGTCATGCATTTATATGTATTTGTTTATACACTTATGTACACATCAAAGTTCACACACAGATATATTTTGATTTTTATCATTCATTAAAGATTTATCATGGCAAAAACTGTTGTTATAATTGGAGGTGGTGTTACTGGCACTTCATGTGCAGAACATGTTTCTATGTATTCTCCTGATGCTAATATTGTTCTTTTGGCAGCTACAGATTTAGTTAAAACAGCAGTATCATTAAGGAAACTTACTAAAACAACAGATGAGTTGGTGCTGAAGGAGCTTCCTAAATTGATGTTTGAATCACCATTGTTAAATGTTACTGTTAAAACTGGTGTTGTGGATTCAATAAATGCTGAAGGTGTTTTATCATAAGTTAGTACATTTTTGAGGAATAGGAAACGTTTTATGAATGAATTTTTATTGAAAAATTTATGAAAGAATAAGATATAGGGTGAGAAGGGAAAAACTTCTCCCCCTTGCAAAAACCTAATTTTGTAAATATTTATTAATAAAACAATTTTTAACTTTTTTTTTTTAAGTTCAGGAAATTACCCTTAATGATGGTATTAAGCTACATTATGATAAGCTGTGTATTTGTACAGGTGGCTCTCCAAATGTAAGTTATGAACTCATGAGTCATCCATATGTTGTGTTGGTACGAGATACTGATACTGTAAAATTATTTGAGCAAAGATTATCCAATGCTAAAAAAATTGTTGTTGTTGGAAATGGTGGAATTGCATTAGAACTAGTGTAAGTTTACACAATCACAATCAAGTTTTGTCACACTGAATTTTTAAGTTTTTAAGTTTATAAATTTTTAAAATTTAAAGTTTTGTCACACTGAAAAAAAGATAAATTATTTGTTTAAAACATAAATATGACTAAGTAATTGTATGTCTTAACGCATACAAATATATTTGAAGTTGCGTAAATCTTAAATTTATGTTTGTAACTTTTTTTTTTTAGATTAGAAGTTGTCAAATGTAAAATTAGTTTTAATAATGAATTAAAAATTTTTAGGTTTGAAGTTGTCAAATGTAAGATTGTTTGGTGTGTAAAGCATGACCATATAGGCACAAATTTTTTTGACAAAGGTGCTTCTGAATTTCTTTTACCCATTCTAGAACAAAACTATGCTGACAAAGAATGCCCTGTGAGAAAGGCTGATACTCTAATATCTAAAGAAAAAAGATATTTTGTGGAAAGATATAAACTTGCAGGTTTGTGACTTTGCATCTTTAATGGATTTTTGAGAACAATTTTGATTTTAATTTAATTTTTTTTAGATTCACATACTATAACAGGAAGTGCATTAGGTCCAGATTGGTGTCTTAATAAAAATCTATGTGGTAATTTGACATCTGAGAAAAGAAATGTTCAAATCAAGTATAATTGTCAAGTAGCTGAAATTTTACCAAGCACCTTTAATATATTAAATTCCAAAAAAAAAAATGTCTACGTAAAACTTTCAAATGGAGAAATAATAGGTTGCGATTTTATTGTTTATGCAACTGGCGTTAAACCTAATGTTCCAAAGATACACACTAAGGTTCATCAAATAAAATGTTCACCTGAAGGTCATTTACTTGTTGATGCTAATATGAGAACAAGTATTCCAAACATTTATGCTGGTGGCGATTGTTGTCAAGCATCTTGGGATCAATCTAATTATTGGTTCCAAATGAACCTTTGGACTCAAGCATGGCAGTTTGGAGCATTTGCTGGAAAGTGCATTGCTAATCACCTTAAATTTGACCTAGATTTGCCTTTAGACTTTTGTTTTGAACTGTTTACACATGCAACAAAGTTTTTTGGATATAAAGTTATATTACTAGGCTGTTATAATGCACAAAAAATTGATAAAACTTCTTGTGAACTTCTTGTAAGGTGCACACCTGGAATAGAATATGTAAAACTTGTTATGTTAAATGGGCGTGTTCAGGGTGCAACTCTTATTGGCGAAACTGGTTTAGAAGAAACCTTAGAAAATCTTATCATCAATGAAATTGATGTGGGGTTTATGGGAACTTCTTTACTGGATCCAGATATTGATATAGAAGATTTTTTTGATTAAATTTTTGTGAACACATTTCAAATATTTATAATCAGAATATAAAAAAATTTTGTTGTTTGCACTTTATTTTTATGTTTGCATTTATAATTATATCTTTTATTTTAACTTTAAAGTATGTTTAATTTTTAAAAAACTACAGTTGGGGCAAGTGAGAGCAGTTATCTGTGGTGAAGATATTAAAATATAATATTTCTTAAAAAAAAATTTTTAAAAGGAAGTTATATAAAAAATTTAAAAATAATATTTGATAAAAGCAATCCAAAAAAAAAATTATTTTAAGAAACCATGTAAAAAATATTGGTTTAATTTTAAGAAACCATAGTTTATATGTTTTGAAATCTAAAATATTAGTCTGTATGTAAAATTATTGTTATTTTAAAATTTTGTTATATAATTTTGCTTCATTTGAGACCCAACAATACATACTTTTAAAGAATTTTTTTTTTGATAATATTAGGAATATGTTAGATGCTTAAGGTTCTTGGGTCCTAAAATAAATAACTAAAAATAATTTTTTTTAAAAATTTTTAACCCAGTATTATTTTATTATTTAGAACACATTATGAGGTTGAGAGCAATCATTTTCAAAAAAATGTTGAGGACACCCTAGTGTGTGTGTGTGTATATATATATATATATATATATATATATATATATATATATATATATATATATATATATATATATATATATAGTATATATATATATATATATATATATATATATATATATATATATATATATATATATATATATATATATATATATATATATATATATATATATAAATGCATAGGTTTATCCACAGCTACTGTCTTTTGCCAGTGTGATAAGACACAATAGTGGATAAAGTTAGCAAAACAATTTCTCAGCTGTGGAACAAATGATTATATTAGTAATATTAATATTAATATTTTAGTATTAGTTTTAGTTTTTAATATTAACATTCAAGAGTTTTCTGATCGAATAGTTCACCATTCACCATTAAATAAGATTTTAGTTTTTTCTTATAAACAGTTGTGTTTTTTTTTTTGTCATGGATGATATTTGGAAGTATATTCCAAAGTTTAGGACCATAGTGGGATAATGCTCAATTACCAAAATGATTACTGCATTTTGTTTCCTTTTAATTTTAGTGTTCTTTTTGACATTGAGTAGTGAATTAAATTGCATTATGACATTGGTGCTTCCAGAATAATAGATTTGTGCATTATTATAATAGTTCTTAAATAGATTCTTTCTCTAATTTTTAAGCCAATGCAAAATGTTAAATTCCTGATCATTTATGACTTTCTATTCTGGTTTTAAATACTAGTCTTGCTCCACAATTTTGAACAGACTGCAGTTTTTTTAATTTTGTCTTTTCAATTCAAAAGTAGAGGGAGTTGCAATAATCTAGCTGTGCAAATTTTAGTGAACATACTATGGTGCACAAATCTTTGTGCGATTAGAATTGTTTTATTTTGGATATTTTGCACAATATATTGTAGCAGCTTTTAATAATCTTATCTATTTGTATTTTTAAAGATAATTCATAGTCAAGTATTACACTTAAACTTTTTGCTGAATCAACAAATCTAATGCATTTCTTGTCAACAAAAGTACCTTTAATAATATCTTTTTGAATGCTATCAAGACATATTCGTATATCCAGGACTAATGCATTATATTGAGATGAAGAAAGGAATGCTTTTAGAGTTTGATGATCATCTGAGTATCCAAAAGTTTTAACATTGAATATGTTCAGATATTTGTATAGTGGTCTCATAGATGTTCAAATTTTACATTTTGGCTTGAGAAATATGAGTTAGCAATTTTAACTTTTTGGGTACAGTTAACTGAAAATGGTTCAAACCTCTTGTGAGTTAAATCATGTGCTTGAACAAGTAATGAGCTCTAAAGTTCACAACATTTGTCGAATGTGCTTGAATGTTTTGTGTTAGCTGGGCAGTTGAGTGATGTTATTTGTATTCATATTGATATTCTATATGAAGATTCTTTGTTGTCATGTGGGAATTAAGACAATTGGAAACTACTCTTTCTATTAGCTTGCTAATGAATACTAAATTAGAA